AACATTTGTACTGAGATTGATGATGACTCGATGCAGATGTGAAACATCAAACTGTATAAGCCATTGGGTTTTATATAACTTAATGTTTAAATCATGTCATATCTTTATCAAAATATTTTAGTTGAGTGTTGTTTAAATGTTACTAATATCTAATGCACTATACTGAAGCATTAAAGATTCAGTGATGAAACCTTTAAAATTACTGTACTGTATATTTCTTATATATTTCTTATATTTCTTTAAGAAACAGTTTGAGCTTATTTACCTATTAGAGTACAGAATGGAGATTTATCATATGCATCATTGCTGCTTTTTTAAACAAATTTTTTTCACTTTTCAAAGCTTTTCTACAAATATTTTGCTTCTTCTTTCTTTTCATGAGATTGATGATATAGAGGTAATATAATTCAATAACTTTATAATTTCTAGAAAGCTTTTAAGCCTTGCCTTTTATTGCCTTGTTATGACATATCCATATGCATTTCATCATTCATATATGAAGAAAACACCAAATGTGGATATACTCAGAGAACAAAATGCACTACCAACTGCTTATGAAATTTATTATTGAAGTGAAAACTGTGTTAATCATTCAAATTTTGCACTTATATTGAAAATATAGGAAAAACAAAACAAAGTGAAAAAGAAGGGTAGAAGTTTTAAAACTAAAAATGAATTATAAACACCATTGGAAGCATAAGTGTTATGATGATTATTTGCATTTTGCCCAATTTATATATCAATACAACAAAATCAAAATGTGCTACAACTTTACAAGTATTTGATGCAGTTGCACTTCAGAACATCACAAAAAGGTTACTTAAAGTAATTTCTATACAATATTGTTTGTTTTCATTTACCAAACCTATGCAGACTTGAGTCTTTTTGAAATTTAATATGAAACTCAATTACAGAAAATCCGTAAATATCCAGAGATTTAATATTTACTTTTTTAAAGAAACAAGTAAAAATTCTACAATTGTGGCGAAAAAAGCCATTGCCTTTCCACGAAAAGAAGCAAAATAGCAATGACAACAAATAAGCTAAATTCTCTCCCGTGAACCACTGTGGAGATGAGCTATGATATACTTTTTTGTATAGACTAAAGAGTTTAATCGATCAAACAAGTTTGACGCTGGTAAGAAAACGACGCAAATCTGCATTCATTCATGTGTAGCCGACATATAGCTCTTTCGTCGATAGTTATAAATGCATCCTCGTAGGAGCCGATAACTGGAAAGCTAGGTTGACTCTCTGTTACGAATTGTAGGTTTTTATCGTGATTTTCATCGAAAAATTACTTGCCGAATCCCAAATACACACATATATTTTCCTCACTCTTCCCTCAGGAGGGAGTGGGAAATTGTGAAATTTTCGGAAAAGCGGTCAATTTCGATAAATCTCAGCGGCAACGGACGAAATCCGCCATTTTTTTGGCGTCATCAGATATCTAAGGCCGCGCTTGAGATAGCCGCTCCAGTTATTATAGAACTCAATGGGCTTGACTGGTTCGACGGATAAAGGAGTCTATGAACGCCAAAAACGCTTATTTTATTGCTCAATGGCCAGATCAGTGGACAGTCTGGAATGGTCTCGACTGATAATAGGGGTGGCCGGACGTAAAAGGGAGTCCAATTGCTATCTTACATTGGTTCATTTGAATTTTGTTTTATTGTGATTGGTTTGACGGATTTCGACTGATAGCTAACTGAACTAACATAGTCAAGCTCACTGTCTGAATTGAATGTTTGATCGTTTCATAGTAATTTTTATAAGCATGAGTGAAACTAAACTACAATTAGATGGAATTTATGGAAATCTTTTACAAATTCATATATTGATATGAATGCTGCTGTCCAAACCGTGAATTTTTTCAAGAGGGTGAAAAATTATGGATGAATTGTAAATGCTTGGCAAAGACGATCTCGCGAGCGACATTTCAGTCATTGATGTTAAAAAGCAAGCCAACATTGTTTTGAGTTTTATCAGCCGAAATTTACATCCAAAATCGTAAGTAAAGTACAACTGAAGTGTATGCATGAATGTAATATATCAAAGTCAATTTATGCGAGTGTGTGATGCGATTTATGTTAATATGGCGTATGGTAAGCAGATTGATGCTTCTAAAATTGTTGTTGCCGACGGACTTTTAACTATGATTTTTTTAGTGCTTGGGGAATCGTGGCCGTTATATGGCAGCGAAATCCTACATTCCTGCAAATTCATATCAATGGACAAAAATCTGTAGCCATAAGGCGCCATACTATTATTTACTTTATCATAAACAAATTTTCAGTGAATGATCATTGATCATTCAATCATTAGACAATTATACTACATATTGTTTAAGATTTGAGGAAACTAACATTGATTACATGGGAAGCTGTTTGCTGTAACTTGTGATTTTGAGTCTTCTGATCCATGAAGCTTTTTATTTTGAGAATTTGACTGGAATGGTATTAAACCTTAGTATTTCACATACATGAAATGTTGTCCCATGTCACATATTGTCCCCTTTTCTAAATGAATATCTCATGTAGAGATGTAAAGGTGTGTTAATCTACGGCTCATACCAGATTGTTTGCCATAAATTCCAAAGGGCTATTGATGTATGAAAAGCATTTTCTATAAAGTAAAAATGTCTTCCTATGTATGCAGATAAACCATGAAATTTGGCAAAACAGCAAAGTATTTTTCATGATCACTAGGTAATTTTTCTGATGATCATTACAATTTCTAAACTAAATAATTTCAGATTTACATTTAAACAAGCTTTGATCATATGAAAAGATGTTTATAATAACCAGTAAGCTTGACACATGAACCAATTTTAACATTCATGTAATTATTTAATTAAAGACATGTTGGTTACATTCTGTTTGTATTTGATAATACAATGCTACTAGTGATAGCTATATAGCACACCTTGCAGAAGATAATAGTCAAGTGAAATGCCTGATAAACATTTATGGCATTAAGCTGTCCTTAACTGCAAATTTTCACTCTGATAATTTTTGCTTAATATTTGGCAGAAAAAAATTTTGAGTTTTTTCTCAAAAGGTGAATTTGCTGGCACTGATGTGGAGATGGGTAAAGGGTTACAATAAACTTGCATGGTTTAAAGTCTGAGCTTTTCTATATCTATGAACTGTCACTTGTAGTACCAAATTTCTAACCTAACTCATTACATAGAGGTTTGAATGGGGATCTCTAGGGGGGTCTATGCCTGAAAATTTGGTAGAAATTTTTAGACTATATCTGTTTTTGAATAGCATTATTTTAAAATAAATTGTACGTTCCTAGACATGCTAATGAGCCATATATTTGGCATGATAATGAGCCTAAATATTTGGCAAAACATTCAAGTATTGTTCACTTCATTTTATTTTTTTTTTGAAAAAAAACGTAAGCAAAATGTGTTGTTTTTACGCAAAAAAGATGCGCACAAAATACATTTTGTATTGCTCTAAAACGCTGAAAATGGCATTTTCAAGGCTCTGAAATTCAAAATTTCTCAGTGGAGAATGCCTCAGACCCCCCAGGTGTGGAGCGCCTCTGACATTTTATGACTGATGTTTGAAAAATCCTAGATCCGCCCCTGAGTGTAAACGCAGCTTATAAGAATATATAGACATAGAAGAGTAAATTTGAAAGTTTTGAAAGCATCTGCCTACGTAAGGAATAATTCAAACGAAAATGAAGTGCGCTATTTTTTACTGTTGCCAGATTGTGAACAAATTTCATAGACTTAAGAACTTTTAGTTTTTCTAAAATTTAGTGAACGAAAACAATTTTGTGAAATTTTCATGTAGTTTAAGAACTTTTTATGAAATTTTAAAAGTAAAATGTTATTAAAACGTAATGTGCAATAATATCTATAGAACTTACTAAATATCCTCACCGACACTGCTAATGTATTATTCTTTCTAACACACAACAATAAACAGTGTTTATGTAAGAGAAACCAATGTACTTTAGTTTACAAATTTGTAATTTCAATGGAAAATTAATGTAGTTCGGTCATGAGTTCTGTTCGATAGTATATCCAAAGTTGTGCCAAACAGGTTACAAATCACAAATTTCCAACCAAGAGCATCATAATGTATTTTCAACTTTGATTTCTTTCTTTTTAGTTGCTCTTTTAGTTCAATATATTTTCTTTATAAGTTTTCAGTAGATTTATCAGCTAATAAATATGGAATATTTTCAGTTGACTTATGTCGTAGGGTTAATGCAAACCTTTTTACGCTCGCTTTGGGGCCTTTTAATAAAGATTTATCCATTTGAGCAAGAGAAATAGTTGCACCAAACTGTTTACAAACAGTCAAACACTTAGTAGCATGAAATTATGCAGAAACTTGACAACATTGACAGACTTACTATGAAAGGTCGTTTGTTTTCACTTTTAAAAAGCTAAATATCATAAAATAACTTAAATGTTAAAATGTTCTATTCCTTACCTTAGATTTTCTTGATTTTTGATGCATGTGTGTACTGTGTTTTTCACACAATGCTGAAGCATTCTTTTCAAACGTTACGCTGTCGGGTAGTTGTTTTTTTTCACTGGTTATGAGTTATATAGAGTTTTAGAGAACTCAGAAAGGAGTGAATATTGAAAATATTTTTTAAAGTAGAATATTTGAGCACTAAAATCCGCCAATACCGCCATGTTTTTGACAACCGGGTCCAAGAATCATTTACCCTCCAGTTATTATAAAATTAGATGGTTCTGCTACATATAAAGATAGGTCGAAAATATTGAACCAATTATATAACTGGACAGCTACTTCCACTGAAAAAATTAAAACCAATTATTCAAATAGTTCTAGTATATCCACGCACAACCCAAGGGCATTCCATGATGAAAACAATAAACATTTCTGGACTTTACCTACTGAAGATAAAATCTGGCTTCTGCAAGTACGTAAACACGCACACTCATGCGTTAATTAAGTACATAAAATTTGTACAAGTATTGACCGACAGACGACTGAACAAAATTTTTACCAAATTGATAATATTTATTAGGATGTGTGTGGAATATATTCCTACAATTCTTCTTCTTGCTCTGTTAAAAGTGAAATTATCGTAAAATACTAGCAAATACACAATAATATATGTCTATACTTGTTGAGTTTCATTTTATAGCTGTGCTTAACAAGTTTAAAAAAGAAAAATTTTGAAAGAGCTTAATTATTGTCACTTAAGTGCATTATTCATTCATCATCAGTATCATTTGTTAGCAAAAGAACCTCTCCCATTTTTACTGACTTTTCTCCTCGGTTACAGAACCAGAAATCCCATATCTTTCCATCTCTAACATTTACTTTGCAAGGCACATTACCACCTACTCTTCCGACTAACACTGCGTCACATCTCCCAGCAGCTCCTGTCATTACAGAATTGGGTGGCATAATGTCTCCGCGTTTACTTTTAACAAATGTGTAGCCAGTATTCAAAAGAACATCTCCATTTTTCTCAGTTCTCTCAAAGTGGTAGGAATATATCCACTCGCAATACTCCCCATTTCTCACGGTCACTTTGCATGGCAGTCCCAAACGTGGAAGTACACGACCAAAGTACAAGTCTTCATCTTTATTAGTTCTTCCACCATAAATGGCTTCCTTTAGAAAGAAAAAAATTATGAAAACTATCTCCGAAGCAATGGTTTTTATCGTTTATTGTACTTACATTTGTTAAAGGGTCCCCTCGTTTACAACTTTTCCACTTTGGTTTAGGATTTGACAGCTTCACAAAGATATTTTCCTTACTTCCTGTTATTGAGATACAGCCATGAGTTTTTGCGTCAACAACAAGATTTGCTTGCCACATTAGATTTCCATCATGAACAGACAAGTAAGTTGGCTTACTGATGTCTTCAATAGAAACTGGTGTAGGCTCATCATTTTTAAAAATACAAAAGCCAACTTGAATCAAATGCTCAAACGTTTTATTTTCCAAACGTTCCTCTTCATTTTTTTTGCGGTAGCCTCCTTCAACATCAACAGGCTTTGCACCTGATGCCGATGCGTTTGCTGACATCACGACAAGATTGCGTGAGTAAAATTCAAATTTTTGTAATTTGTCATTTCTTAAACGAACGTAGAGTTTCTCCACTCCTGTAGTTTTATTTGTCACGTAAATATTATGCGGCATAGCTGGTGAATCTGTCAGAAAAATTGAATAAGTCGTTATCATCGAAAGGCCATGAAATCAAATCTTTGGGTTGTATACTTTTTTAAAACATATCTCTACCTTAATAAAAACTTTTTATTTAAATACAGTATGAAGAGTCGAACACAACTCTTCATACTCACTACTGAGAATGATTTGAATCCACAAAAAATTTATTTAAATGAAAGCGAACAATTAAGTTATCTAAGAATTTCACAAACATTATTTATGCGAAAAGAAGCATTAGGAAATTTGCTCGTGCTAGTCAAATGATAATATGCGCAGTGGCGTTTATAAGGGTCACGCTGGTAGCGCTCAACTCGACCATAAATTTCTCGAAAACAAAAATTTGTGCGTTTAAAAATTCAAAATAACTTAGTTTGAATTTCAAAACAACTTTAATCCATTTACTGTGGATTTTGAGCTTATAATCCAAATCTTTTAATAACGAATTTGGTTAAACACGCAATGAACTCCATAATCACGCCATTAACGATTTTGGTTTAACAAATACTTTTAGCAGCTTAGTCGGTCTCTCAAAATTCAGCCGGCCAAACAATATATTTTATAGAAAAAATATTCCTACTCTAACTTGCTAAGGACATCTGAGCATGCTCAAACACGCAGATATGGAGCATGTTGTCACGCTCATTTTATAGAGCCCGATTTGAGCTTTCGACATTAAAGGCTGCTTTCCACTTTCGCGTTTTTCAACGCGCATACACTTACGTTTCCGTAGGTGTTCTCCAAGCGCGTCAACGCACAAGTTGAGCACAACTTAACCTTTACGCAGCAAAATTGAAAAACGTGAGCAATTATCCAATGAAAATGAATTAAAAGATCACGTGCTTAACAGTGAAGTATGCTTTTTGCCAATTGATTTACAAGTTGAAAAAATATGGGAAAATATACAAAAGTTGAAGAAAAACTTTTTCAAACAATTGAAAAATACCCAGCGCTTTGGAATACAAACGGCAATAGCTATAAGAACAAAAATATTAAGGAAAGTGCGTGTCAAATAGTGGCTGATACTGTAAATGCAGCCTGTGAATCAACGTATTCAGGTAATATTGAAATGCATATGGTGTGTTTAGTTTTTGCATAGTTTCAGCACCAAACGATATGTATTCTAAAATATTTTTTGACCCAGTAAACGACTACAAAGACAGAATTTGGAAAAACTTACGCGATTCATATGTCCGTGTGTTAAGTGGAAATGGGAAAAAAAGGGGAGCAGGTGTGGATGAAATTCCACATTATCCATACTATTTGGAACTGTCATTTTTAAAACCTTATGTTAATATTCGAACAAAGAATTTGGACAGCAATTTCCAACCAGTTTTTAAGCAAGCTCTTTCAAGTCCATGCCAAGATCCACTTGCCATTTTATCTGAACCTCCTTCTAATGATTTAACAGGTAGTGTTGAGGCGTTTTCTCAAGAAGGATCTTTCCCTTCATTTGAGATTATTGATAACGTTCAAAATGGTGCTTCAAAACAACCAAGTAAGAAAAGGACTTATGCAGCAATGACACAAAGCAACTTGATTGGGCCTTGGATGTAAAAATCATGGAATATATATATGGTGGTGAGAACTCCTGTCAAAATCAATAAGCTGTGGTAACTGTAGAAGATGCATTTAATATAAATGTTGTTGCTCAGCTACATTTTTTGGATAAAGAAGCAAAAAGTAAAGCTATTGGTAAAATTCAAATTGTTTTAAGTGATCTCTTCAATATCAACAAACAGCTAGCATAAGAAGGATGTAAAGTGAAAAACTTGAGTTATTGAAAGGCAGGGGCGGATGTAGGATTTTTCAAACATCAGTCATTAAAACGTCGGAGGCGCTTCGCACCTGGGGGAGTCTGAGGCATTCTCCCCTGAGAAATTTTGAATTTCAGAGCCTTGAAAATGCCATTTTCAACGTTTTAGAGCAATACAAAATGTTTTTTTGTGGGCATCGCTTTTGCGTAAAAACAAACATTTTGCTTACGTTTTTTTCAAAAAAAATATGTAATGAGCTTAAATGTTTGGCCAAATATTTAGGCTTATTATCATGCCTAATATATCGCTCATTAGCATGTCTAGGAACGTAAAATTTATTTTACAATAATGCTATTCAAAAATAGATATAGTCTTTAAAAATTTCTACCAAGCTGTCAGGCATAGACCCCCCCTAGAGACACCTTTCAAACCTCTATGTAATGAGTTAAGTTAGAAATTTGGTACTACAAGTGACAGTTCATAGATATAGAAAAGCTCAGACTTCAAACCATGCAAGTTTATTGTAACCCTTTACCCATCTCCACATCAGTGCCAGCAAATTCACTTTTTGAGAAAAAACTCAAATTTTTTTTCTGCCAAAGATTAAGCAAAAATTATCAGAGTGAAAATTTACAGTTAAGGACAGCTTAATGCCATAAATGTTTACTAGGCATTTCACTAGACTATTATCGTCTGTAAGTATATACAAGGTGTGCTATATAGCAATCACTAGTAGCATGGTATTTGCAAATACAAAATATAACCAGCATGTCTTTAATTATATAATTACATGAATGTTAAAAAAGGTTCATGTGTCATGCTTACTGGTTATGATAAATATCTTTTCATATGATCAAAGCTTGTTTAAATGTAAGTCTGAAATAATTTAGTTTAGAAATTATAATGATCATCAGAAAATTACCTAGTGATCATGAAAAATACTTTGCTGTTTTGCCAAATTTCAAGGTTTAGCTGCATACATAGAAAGACATTTTTACTTTATAGAAAATGCATTTCATACATCAATAGCCCTTTGGAGTTTATGGCAAACAATCTGGTATGAGCCGTAGATTAAGACACCTTTACATCTCTACATAAGGTGTTCAGTTCAGTTTCACAAACATTTCACGTAGGTGAAATACTCAGGTTTAATACCATTTCCGTCAAATTTTCAAAATAAAAAGCTTCATGGATCAGTAGACTCAAAATCATAGGTTATAGTAAACAGCTTCTCATGTAATCAACGTTAGTTTTCTCAAATCTTAAACAATATGTAGTATAACTGTCCAATGATTGAATGATCAATGATCATACACTGAAAAGCCCCAAACATTTGCTTATGATAAAGTAAATAATAGTATGGCGCCTTCTGGCTACAGATTTTTTGTCCATTAAAATGAATTTGCAGGAATGTAGGACTTCGCTGCCATATAACGGCCACGATTCCCCAAGCACTAAAGAAATCATAGTTAAAAGTCCGTCGGCAACAACAATTTTAGAAGCATCAATCTGCTTACCATACGCCATATTGACATAAATCGCATCACACACTCGCATAAATTGACTTTGATATATTACATTCATGCATACACTTCACTTGTCCTTTACTTACGATTTTGGATGTAAATTTAGGCTGATAAAACTTAAAACAATGTTGGCTTGCTTTTGAACATCAATGACTGAAATGTCGCTCGCGAGATCGTCTTTGCCAAGCTATTACAATTCATCCATAAATTTTTCGCCCTCTTGAAAAAATTCACAGTTTGGACAGCGGTATTCATATCAATATATGAATTTGTAAAAGATTCCCATAAATCCCATCTGATTGTAGTTTAGTTTCTATCATGCTTATAAAAATTACTATGAAACGATCAAACATTCAATTCAGACAGTGGGCTTGACTATGTTAGTTCAGTTGGCTATCAGTCTAAATCCGTCAAACCGATCAAAATAAAAAAAAACTTCAAATAAACCAATTGTAAGATATCAATTGGACTCCCTTATACGTCCTGCCACCCCTCATATCAGTCGAGACCATTCCAGACTGTCCACTGATCTGTCCATTGACCAATAAAATAAGCGTTTTTGGCGTTCATAGACTCCTTTATCCGTCGAACCAGTCAAGCCACCCCGCTTATCAATCGGTTATTCCAGGTGAATTAAAATTCAACTGATCTGGTTACCAACGAGATATTTATTGGATTAGTCATTAGTTTTCAATAACAAATAAAGCTGGATTTTTATCACGAAGTAAATGCGACAATAAATTAAGAATAGTTAATGAGTATTTTACTAATATGAATAGGTAATTTTTGAATTTCAAACATCAGTTGCGCGACGTATTTGACATACTCTAGATCCGCCCCTGATTTTATGCACATGTCATATAATGACCAGTAGTAGATGCTTAAGGTGATAAGACCATAAGTAACTGACTTAAAATTAGATACCGGCATTCAAAAGTTGTATATACTATAGTTTCTACAAGACAATATATACTAAGATAAAAAAACGTCATTTTATGGGAGATGACGTTCAAAACTGGGATTATTAAAAAAATTATTCTCTTTATCGCATAACTTTAAGAATGACCGGCATTTTATTTGATTTTAAAATTGTTGTCTGAGTATGAATCAGCACAGTTAGAATCACTAAGGCTGGAGCCCTTATGGGATAAAAGGAATGGGGTGATATAAGCCCCAATCTTTCCAATAATTCGTCCAGTCAGGCAAGTTACATGAATTTGTCGGGCAATGTTTTAAAAATAAGATAAAAATTCAATCTGATTTACAGCAAAGACAGAGACATAAGGCAATAATACAAAGGAGCTATGTCCGTCGCTAATTTTAAAAAATACACCAGGTAGGATTTTGTACTTATAAATATCATAACTCATTACAACCATTGAAAATTTTGACTTAAAGTACTACGAGATATTTGGAAATTGGTTGAGGTGTCAAATTCATATGAGGAATTTCTATTTTATTGAGGGAAGCAGTTGTTTTTTAAGGTCAACAAAGCTGCAAACAGTTTAAATAATCGTTTGCAAAAATTAAATTCTTTTATGAGGAATGTTTGTATAATTTTATTCACATCATTGGCCATGTCAATTAATCCGCGTTGTTATATCTTTTTAAAATTCATTTATACTACGCCAAGTTTACACGACATTAACTAATATGAGCTCAACCTAGATTCAAATTAACCTGGATTATATTCTTGCTTGTACTTAACACCAAACTTAACATGGGTTCAACTCAATCATTATCAAGAAGAAGAATTAAGCAAGCCTGAGTCAGTAGTCATAGATGGGTTAATTTGCATTTGGGCTGAAACAAGATTTGTTTATGTCGTTTCAACTAGGGTCCATTTTGCAAAAACGTGTAGTTAATTATATTTTCTTTTAATGAATGATGAACTTATCTATGCATTGCTGAATAATATTCTTAATTGGAATTAATGGACTGTAAAAAGTACAAACGCTATGTAGGAAATTCAATATTAACTTTACCGCCAAATAAATACTGTTGCAAAAACATATAAGTAAATTTAGAATAAAGCTTTGGTGAAACGAGCGCAACATGTCTAGCCAACAATGTCCAGCTTTGTCGGCCGATGTTGCGATTTTGTACTCATGAACTGGTCAACGACATTCAGGGTAAAATGGAGAAACAAAAAAGCGGAAGAGGACTAACGGAAACGGAATGGTGGAAACGGAATAGCGGAAGCGGAATAGGGGTAGAACGCAGAATAGAGGGTAAAACGCGGACGAAATAAAAATGCTCATAAAAACCTGTATATAGTAAAGTAATTATGTAAAGTACTTGCCACAGTAAACATATGGATTGTTCAGTTTCAGACAGAGAGCACATGTGAAATTTAAAATGAAAATTTTGCTATTTATAATAATTAAATCCGTGCATATTTGGAAATTGCAATTGACTCGCGAATCATCGGTCATAGTCTTTACAAAACCATGAAAATATGTCAAGAAAATAGTCATAACAAAACAGCTCAAGATATTAGACAAATGCAAGCTTTGAAGGCGATCACCAATATCGATTATATCTCATTCGTGTATACGGAACGAAAAACTTTAACCTAGTACGTGCAGTTCACTTGTATTTAACAAGTTGAGTGCATTTACCGTAGTTTATTTTGTTCTTGGTTCATTTTCCTCATGGTACGATTTGAAGAGTTTAATGAAAGGCTAAAAGCAAATGAACATATTTCGCTTTCCAGTCTTCCACGATTTACAAATATTTTTGCGCGAATTTACATAATCTCAAATGACAGCAAATGCTCTAACAAATGACAGCAAATGCTTTAACAAATGACAGCAAATGCTCTAATAAATGACACAAAATGCTCTAACTAATGACAGCAAACGGTCTATCGCTGCAAATATATCAGCTTGAAATACAATAATTTATTTTCAATAGATATTTGCAATGTGTTAAGTATTTTCCTTTAAAAAATTAAACATTATTTGCAAGACACAAAATACTTGGAATGTATATTCTTTTAAAGAAATTACTGGAAAAAAAAACAACAAACATCACTGCCGGTTTGCTCAAATTTCAGTAAAACAAGTATCATATATTATTTTAACCAATACTTTAATGCTGAGGCTTGAAAGCTTTTCAGAAATCAATATGTGCTAATATTATACTATATCTATTTCAACCATCTCATGAAATGAAATAAGAAGAAATAAGCCAAGAGTCAGCCGTTGCTCGTTGTTTACTGTAACGTTGCTTACATGTTTATGCTTTTGCAATATACATTTGACTTTATAGTGACTGTATAGTCTTGCATTCAGGGGGAATAAAACTAAAGACTACGAACCACAGAAAACCGTTTTAAGTTGCTTTAAGTGCTGGTCATTTGATATACATACATGTTTTATACCATAATGATACTTTACGGATATACACAACTAGATTTTGCGAAACCATCAAAAACGATGATTTTAATGTCGAATGATGACAAAAGAAAATTCCAAGTAAGACAAAATTTGTCAAATTTAATTACATGTACACGTAACGTCCGTTTCACTCATATTCATTCACATCCAATGCATGAAACTCAACTGTAATTAATCGTTTTTTTTGCTTATTTTATTGTTTAAAAACGTGTATGTTCAAGCTCAAGTTCATCACGAATGTTTAAAACAAACTACAAATTCTTACTTGACCCAAGTTTTAGCTTTATCGATCAATATTTTGGTCAATTTTAAATAACAAACACTCTTTGTTCTACTTAGATACGTACATACGCGTAAACAGAAACTAATTTGAGCCATCATCTAATGATGGAGACTTTTATCTTACCGTTTTATTAAATGGAAGAAAAAAATTCTTGATATCGTGATGATATATCTTTACAACAATGTTTCCCAAACTTTCAATAAAGCTGACAAGAATGATAAAGTCAAGATTGCACAATGCGTTATTTAAGTATTCCGTTGACTGAATAGTTGCGATGATGTTGTAGCTGCTAAACAATTTGATTGGTTGAATAGATAATAATTTTTTTTAAATATGAATAATATTTTTTAAGAACGATTGGTTAAACAATTTGCCTTGATTTAAAAAATTCGATCAAAACATCCAGCTGGGTATGTTGTTTGGAAAACTTGACGAAAAATCGATGGGAAAGCTTTTGGAAGAAAAATTTTTATTTGTATAACTGTTATTTAAAATAAGAATTAAGCAAAATTAGAAAGATTCATATTGTAAAACGAAAAATGAGTGCCGAATTAATCAAGAACTGCTCAGCGTGATATGTAGTTTCAGCTGGAGTTTGTTTAATGTTTTGCTCAACTTTCCTAACTGTTGTAAAACTTTAGCTTTCTGTCGACCATTTTCACAATCAATTTGTCTTTAAGTTAAGATATGTTTCTCACAATTAATGCACGAGCGACAAACTGTAAAAGATCTTAGTGTTAGAATGGCAAGAATTTTTCTGATTCAATCTCGAGAGACATTATACAATTTGTTATTGTTTTACCATTGACTTGGTTATCTTTGAAGTTCCGCGGCTGTATTTAGCATAACTGCGTGAGTTTACTAGCTGTTTTTAGATACAGCCCTTCGAAACCTATGACTTTACGCTGTACCTGAAAGCCCAGCATTGCTGGCCTTATGTGAATAAAACCCTTAAAATCATAACGATCGTTTTGACTTGCAGATCACCTATGTCATCTGTACCTTGTTTATATTCTTATTTCAGTCACGTTTCAATCACCATCATATTCGTCAGTTCAATGACAAATTTTTTCTCACGATCTACAAGGTTTAAGAATGCTCGTGATATGCCATATCCAAGTCAACTAACTTAATCTCATACTTCTGTGCCCTCGACAAATCTAAAAGACAAACTTTTTGCACAAGAGAGAAAAAACATCGTATCTAATCATGTCATAAAGAATGATTTTAAAATGTCTTTATTCCCCCAACTTTATCTTCCACATCTATGCAGACTGCCTTACTTCGCTTTCATTGGAATCAATATCTACTGCTTCATTTCAAAGTCAATCGTCTCCAGAAATTTTTAAAGTTATTAACCTTTAAAAAATGAACATGAGCACTCTTAGTCAGATATCATAACCAAATTTAACGCACATAGACGTATGATTCGGGGGAGGGAGGAGGTATTGTCTTAGAAAGCTTTTGGCCTCTTTCAAAAAATTATAAAGGGAGCTTAGCCCTACCAAAATATAGGCTAACATTGACAAAGTACAATTCAGCTTCTTCCGCGTAACCTTTCCCTAACTTGGACTATCGTGGCGCCAGGGGCGGATCTAGAGTATGTCAAATCCGTCGCGCGACTGATGTTTGAAATTCAAAAATTACTTATTCATATTAATTAAATTAAAAATCATTAATTACTCTTACTTTATTATCGCATTTACTTCGTGATAAAAATCCAGCTTTATTTATTATGAAAAACTAATAAATGTTGTTAGATAAGGTCGTTATTGTTTGTAGCTGTTGGTTATAGCGCTGTGCTATCATTCTTTTTGTTTAATAACATTCCAACTATTTAACCCTGTGAATATCTCGTTGGTAACCAGAGCAGTTGAATTTTAATTGACCTGGAATAACCGAGTGATAAGCGGGGTGGCTTTACTGGTTCGACGGATAAAGGAGTCTATGAACGCCAAAAACGCTTATTTTATTGGTCAATTGCCAGATCAGTGGACAGTCCGGAATGGTCTCGACTGATAAGAGGGGTGGCCGGACGTATAAGGGAGTCCAATTGCTATCTTACAATTGGTTCATTTGAATTTTTGTTTTATTGTGATTGGTTTGACGGATTTCGACTGATAGCCAACTGAACTAACATAGTTGTAGTGTTGCAGACACGCCCCTTAAAAGTGACAATGACAGGTATATATTTAGGAATGAAAAATGTTGTTGACGAACAGATATTAGAGAGCACAATAGATAGATACTAAAGGAAGAAGATAAATTCTAAACATTACATTGGCGACGAGGAATAAAATACCAACGCAAACATGGCAACATTTTTATCTCCCATGCCACATTTCAATCCGGATGAAGATATCGGAGGAAACATTGCAAATAGATGGCGCACGTGGTTGGCAGATTTTAAAACATTTTTAACAGCCAGTAATATAACAAATAGAACTCGGCAACGGGCTTTACTTCTTTATCAAGCAGGACCCCGAATTCGAGAGATATTTCGACAATTTCCAGACCCGGGAGAAGATGATGATTTTGCTAAAGCGGAAATACTTCTTACGGAGTATTTTGAACCACAGAAAAATCGGTTATATGAAGTTTACAAATTTCGACAAGCAAAGCAAGTAGAGTCCGAAACAATCGACCAATTTCATACAAGACTGCGCTCATTATCTAAAAACTGTGAATTTGCTGATGTAGATTTTGAGATAATGGTTCAAATTGTTATTGGTGGACGATCCAGTCGTGTACGAAAACAAGCATTAAGAGATCCTAAATATACCTTAAAAGATCTGTTGCTTGAAGCAAGGCGTGAAGAAACAAGTAAAGTACAAGCGGCGGACATCGAAGAGCATTTGGACAGCCACGTTCTACATACACTAAAAAAACCTACAAATAAAAACTCCCAAGCCGGTAAACCACAGAAGATATGCTTTTACTGTGGAGGTAACTACCCCCATTTAGACAAACCGTGCCCAGCGAAGAACAAAACATGCGCCAAATGCGGGAAGTTAAATCATTTTGCAAGCCAATGTCGCAGCCGAAACTTGCAGAAAATCAAAACACCCGCTAAACTACGCCAAGACATACGACCGGTAAAGGCTGATGAGGAGAAAGATAGCAGCAGCGACAATAATTCGGAATACTGTTATGCGGTTTGTAACAACAACAAGCCTAAACGTCCTGAAACGTCAATATCGCTCAACGGACTATATGTCAGAATGACAATTGACACTGGCTCAAGCATAAATATAATCGACAAGAAGACTTTCCGGAACTTTCGAAATACTGAGCTTGAACCCACATCCGTGAAAGCATACCCGTTTAACTCAAAAATGCCAGTCAAGATGGAAAGGAAGTTTCGTGTTCTTGCGGAGTCAAAACACAAGTTCACAGTTGCTACTATATATGTGACATCAGACGATGGCGGCTGTTTACTCAGCTCGGAAACAGCGCAAGAACTTGGACTTGTAAGCATAAACTTGAACAAAATTAACACATCGCCAGAAAACTCAACACTTACAACAAAGGATACAAAGCTCCATCACATTTTGGACAAACATGCACCTGTCTTTGACGGACTTGGGAAGTTAAAAAATAAACAAATTAGACTAGCAATTGATGACTCCGTGCTCCCGGTTGCACAACCACAGCGAAGAACACCGTTCCACCTAAGCCTGAAAGTGGAAAGTGAAATACACAGATTAGAGAACGATGACATCATAGAGAAAATACCTGAAGGCATGCCCACTGACTGGGTCTCTCCGGTGGTGATTGTTCCCAAGCGTGATGGTAACATTCGATTGTGTGTTGATATGCGGATAGCAAATACGGCTATCAAACGAACCAGACATCCAATACCAACTGTGGAAGCTGTATCCATGGAACTCAATGGAGCACGTATATTTTCAAAGCTTGATCTTGCTCAAGCATACCACCAACTAGAGCTATGTCCAGCATCCCGCAGCATCACAACATTCTCAACTCATTGCGGTCTCTATCGTTATAAGCGATTAAACTATGGAACTAATGCCGCAGCTGAATTATTTCAACGTAATCTGCAGGAAACATTGTTAGGAATCAAAAGGGGTCAAGAACATTGCTGACGACATAATCGTATTTGGAAGTAATAGAGCAGACCATGACCGTGCACTGGATGAAGTTCTTACCCGATTACAAGATCACAATCTCACACTTAATCGCCAAAAGTGCAAGTTCCTGAAGAAGAACCTTGAGTTTTTTGGGTTATTATTCTCAGAACATGGGGTCTGTCCAGACCCAAAAAAGGTAGAAGCTTTTGTTAAAACTACAATACCCACAACGGTCAGCGAAGTGAGAAGCTTACTGGGGATGGCAAATTACAGCTCTAAGTTTATCCAAAATTATGCTACCATTACAGAACCCCTTCGAAAACTAACACGTAAGTGTGCGCGCTTTGCATGGACGTGGGAACACCAAGCAGCTTATGACAAGTTAAAAAATGCACTAACCAACAGTCCAGTTATGAGTCATTTTGATACATCAAAAGAAACGTCGGTATTAGTGGATGCAAGCCCAGTTGGCTTATCAGCCATATTAACACAAACAGATCCTAAAACAAACGCCGATAACGTGATCTGCTATGCTAGTCGGGCTCTTTCGTCAGTAGAACAACGATATTCGCAAACTGAAAAGGAGGCCCTTGCTATCGTGTGGGGTATCGAACACTTTCACATATACCTATTTGGGGCATCGTTCACCCTGATCACTGATCACAAACCATTACAACTTATCTATAATAATCCTCGGTCCAGACCTCCCGCCAGGATTGAGCGATGGTTATTGAGACTTCAACAATACAATTTTCAAGTCATTTGCAGACCAGGTGACACGAACCCTGCAGACTTCTTATCAAGACACCCACAATTACAGACTCCCAAACGCAACATCGCCGAAGAATACATCACGTTTGTCACGACAAATGCAGCTCAAAATGCCATATCAATTGAAGTCATCAAAGAACATACGACCAAAGACATAAGTCTTCAGGTGGTAAGAACAGCGGTCGAGTCGGGTGATTGGAGCAATCAGTCTGTGAAACCATTTCTTAGCATCAAAGATGAAATATCTGTGGACAACACGAATGGCATACTCCTACGAGGAACGCGGATTATCATTCCAACAACCCTAAAAACAAGCGTTGTGAAGCTGGCCCACGAAGGCCACCAAGGAATAGCCAAAACTAAAGCTTTGTTACGCCAATACGCCTGGTTCCCTAATATGGACAAGGCCGTCAAGGATGAA